GCAAATGCAACTCAATCCATTACTTGCACATAGAGGCTTGACTAGCAAAATTTAAAAGAGAAAATATACATGAGATGGACTAACAGAACTTCCACTTTCTCCCATTCAAACCATGAATCAAGTTCAAAACAAGCTGACAGGGAGCCAAATAAACTAAAAAATGTATAATACTAGAACATAAAAATAGCAGAGGTTCTCATAGTTTTGTCTGGAAAACAACTTGAGAAAAATGATGGACAACATCAACTTCAGGGCTCAGCTCTGTTTGCTCATAGCCTCATACCATAGAACTTGTTGAAGTTTTAAAGGAGACAGGTGGATAGTGGCATTCAAAATGAAATCAAAGCAATTTGAGTCAGGTTTTGAGAGTCTAGAGATATATACCCCACACTCCTCTTCRCGATCTATAATGGCATATCTTTGAGTAAGCGCACTAATATCTTTTCGGATATTGTCTGCACCACGTATTGCATCATTCATTTCTTGTTTCAGTTGTTCAATTTGCTTGTCGTAATCTTCCAATGATGAACAGATTGCTTCCTAAAAAGTATTGAGAGAAAGTTAATTACTAATGGCAGTGGAAGCCAGTCCAGAAGCCCATAATCAACTAAAAARTAAATAATATCGAAAATTACAACAAAGTGAAGAGAACTGATAATCATCATTTGCACATCAGAGTTAGCAAAGGCCCCCTTGAATAAGAAGGAAGTCATCACCCGTGGGTTGATGTCAGATGTCATTTATAGAAGTTGGGGTATGAGTGCCCAAGTAGAAATCAATCTGATAAAGAAATGTTCTCCATCAAGTGGTGACTCTTTCTTGTAGCATGGAAACTCTCCAATATCACTGTGACTATTAGAACCTAACAATTTGAAATAGGTTTGACTATTCCTTACCAAAATACCCTTGACTTTTGYTACCCAATCTTCTTTCTCTTAGTGGGGATACAAAATCTATGGAAATTTTAAAAATCTTATGTACCCATGAGATACCCCTRTGTTACATAGACACAAACATGTGAGTTGAAATCTGAAGCATGCCATACTAGGCAAGATGAAGAAAACATATACTTGAGATCACATCCAGAAAAGGTGTTCATATAACCATTAAAAGCCCACATCCTGTGAATCCATTCTAACGTCAAATAATTATAGCAAAAGGCTTTTGCCTTTTAGTAAATTTAGATGCTTATCTTGTTACCTAGTAAGGTTCAATAAGAAAGATATATTAATATCGTGTATCAGATGTTCATTTATGTCGAATAAAGAGATAAAAATAAAACTTATCTAGTAGGGGGTCATAAGTATCCAGGCAGTGTGGTTTGAGCTATGTGCAACATGGGCACTTCTTCCATTTAAGAGGGTCCAAGTAACACTGGATCAGGGTCTAAATTGTTGGTGTTAGTGGAAATGTTTGTCATCCAAATCTAGGAAACATGTTGGAAAGATTATAGGCATGGTGGAAACACTGTGAATTATGCAGAAATATACAATGATATTTTATGAAATGATAAAAGTCGAATACATACCCTTTCAGACTATTTTCTTGTTATAAACAATCAAACAAAGCCAGGAAATTAAGGCTAATAGATACAATAACATGCTTGTGAAGTTGTCCTATAGACTTTAAGAGTTAAAACAACATAATAGAGTAGTAAGTCAAGAAAAATTTAAACTCACAGAAAGTTGAAATGATTCTAATAGATCAATCTATTACAGAAACAAAAACTAAGATTCAACATCACATTCAAAAAGAATTTTSATATGGCTCAAAGTGGTCATCATCTTCATTAAGTGCTACGTGGGCAATAATACTGTTGATCCACATATTAAGATACTATCTCATGTACTCCATATAGCACTGGTAGTTTTCACTGGGGAATATGTCAATAATTTCGGTACCCATGGAAATGGAACATGGGCTCGAATATGAGATCAGCCACTTTGTGGAAAAATAATGTGCCAAAGGTTAGGCTTGTAACCAATCCCATCCCTCCCAAGACCCCAAATAGTTGGGAAMAACATTGGGCAATGACCTTTTTTACACATGGAATATTAGGAAATAGGGCGGCATTTCAAAACTATGCATTCAATATACCTCCATATCAACAAAATGCCCCTAAAAATACAAGATGTTCACAATATTTTGATGGGTGGTATTACAAAAATTTTGACATATTTTTATTAGGCAATCTTTTTTCCAAATTTTAACAACTATTGGAGAAATTTTTCTGAAAGTATATTTCATAGTCAATACAAGGTTATGATATACTTTGTTATTTTTCTTGCAATTTAGATTATTGAATCCAAACTAAGAAARTATGTGATTTTGTATTTCCATGCCTCTCACTTAGGCTTTTATAATTGATGTGCAGATTACATATGTAACTTATGACTTTGATTATAAAAGGAGTAAATATGTAAAATTCCCTTGAACTGTATACTGAAGCACTCTT